GGATTTTGGGGGTGGAGCCTGAGTGGTGGGTTTAGATTTAGAGGAATTAGCTGTGTTAGTCTGTTGCTGCAAAATAGTCCAAGAGTTCAAATAGCACCTTTAAGACTAACAAATAGCACCTTTAAGACTAAGACTGAGTGGTGGGTGTGGCCTTATGACACACTTCCGGCGATGGCAGGGGGTGTGGCCTTATGACACACTTCTGGTGATGTCAGGGGTGTAGCCTTATGACACACTTCCAGTGATGTCAGGGGGTGTGGCATATGCTAATGAGTTATGCTAATGAGTTCCCCTAGCTCTTTTTCTACGAAACGACCCCTGAATAAACAAATAAAATTTGTCAGCCTTTAAAATGCCTCTGGACTCCTGTTTTATTCTGCCGCTGTGCACAGTTATCCATCTGCAAATTACCTCCCTCTAAGAGTCCAGTTAAATTTTTAAGTTGTGCTGAAATTATCACCCCACTGACTTCCAGAAATCCAAGGGCTGAGCTGAAACTGTGGGACCGATTCTCTAGCAAAGACCCCCCAATTCACTTCCATTTCATCCTGGGAGAAGAGGCTGTATCATCTGCAGCAGAGTCATGATGAGACGAGTGGATTTTAAAATTCAAAGCAAACCATGACTTGGGCTCTGAGACAAGGGAGAGTGGCCGCTACACACTGTCTATCTTCTTGCATGTGCAATTTAGGATGGTTAATTCAATATAATGGCCTTGAATTAATAACCTCAGACATCTAAGACGGTTTCAGAAAGCTCTGGGGGATCCGGGAAGGAATGAAGCAGGGAACAACTTGCTGGCTGGCTAGCTGGCTAGCAACAGCTGACTGAGGTCCGGCTGAGTTTGTTTCTCCTCTGCTCACAGGTAGTTAAGACCTGGGCACGTTCCGAGGCATTTCTAGCAGCAGAAGTGGGGGAAGACCATCCTTGCTGACTAGCAGCAGCTGAATGAGATCTAGCTGCAGCCCCGTAGCCAGAAATTTTTTGGTGGGGGGCAGCGGGGGCAGCCTCGTCCCTGTTTAAAAAAAAAAAAAAAGAGGCACACACCAAACAGACCCTGAGTAAGCAGCTAGCTCTGGAGGAGTCATGGCAGCCGGCGGGCGAGGGAGAAAGGTGAGCCAGGCAGGTAAGTGCCGCGTTTGCTGCCCCCGTCCTCCAATTCTCGCTTGCTCAGAAGTTTCGGCTGGGGGCGGAGCCAGCTGTGCAAGTGCCGGGAGTGCACTCCTTCCCCACCCTCGCTCTCACTTTGCAGGGCGTCAGCCAACCAGTCATCCAATTTCACCACTTCCCTCCCAACCGGCAGCCCCAGGAACCTTCCACCTCCCGGAGGGGGGACCGAGAAAGGAGGGGAACCAGGAGATGAGAGGGCAGGGCAAATTCGGGACCGTTGCCCCAAGGTACGGTTGCCAGCCTCCAGGTGGCACCTGGAGATCTCCTGCTATTACAACTGATCTCCAGATAACCAATATCAGTTCCCCTGGAGGAAATGGCTGCTTTGGAGGGTGGACTCTATGGAATCATCCCCCGCGGAAGACTCTCCCCACCCCCAAACCCCGCCCTTCCCAGGCTCCACCCCCAAATCTCCAGGTCTTTCCCAACCCAGGCCTGGCAACCCTACCTCAAGCCCCCCCCCCGCCCCCCGTGGCTACAGGCCTGGCCGGCTGAATCTGTTTCTCCTTTGTTCAGAAGTAAATAAGGCTTGGGTAGACCCAGCAGCATGAGCCAAAATGTTGCAGCCTAGAGTATAAGCAGGGCTTTTTTTGTAGAAAAAGCCCAGCAGGAACTCATTAGCATAATAGGCCACACCCAACAGCAGGAACTCATTAGCATATTAGGCCACACCCTGACAGCACAGCTCATTCACATATTAGGCCACACCCCCATGTTACCAGAAGTGTGGTCATCCAGCCACACCCACCTATTGCTTCTTATTCTCTTTACCCTGTTTGTTGTCAAAACCCAGGGCTTTTTGCATGTTAGGCCACACACCCCTAATTGTAGCCAATCCTAATGAGTTTCTGCTGTTGAGTGTGGCCTGTTATGCTAATGAGTTCCTGCTGGGCGTGGCCAGCTTGGGAGCCAGCCGGAATTCCGTTCCTGTGCGTTCCTGCGCAAAAATAGTCCTGACTATAAGGAAATATCTGGCAGAAAGGGAAAAGCAGAGAAACCTTCTGTTTATTTCTGGTTTTGTCTTGTAAGCCACTTTGGGTCCCTACTGGGCAGAAAAGCAGGCTATAAATCATCAAATAAATCAATCTAAGTACCTGTTCCCCTCCTGCTACAAAGAAAAACAGATGTTTGCATACATACCACTCCAGTTTTTGGCTATTTTAAACATATTTGCAGCTCTGGTGTACATTTCACATGCTTCTTCCAACTTTGTATTTCCTCTAGAAAAACAGAAGGAAAGCAAAGAGATTAGAGGGAGCCAAGTCCTTCTTGTTTATTCTCAGTGATTATATATGCATTTTTATTACACTTTTCCTCTAATGAGCACAAGTTGGTGAACATAGTTCTCTTCTTCCCGTTTTATCCTCACGAACAACTCTGTGAAGTACATTTGACTGAGAAATCTTTACTCTGCTCCTGGCTATATTCTGAATAAGAAATCCTACCAGGAAGGCAAGAATTTTTTAAAAGCATCCAATGTACCGCTGTGTTATCACTGGAAGCCCTTGGGGATTAAAGCAAGCATTTTACCAATTTGTGCCTTGTTATTAACGCAGCCAAGAGACGAACAACCCATATAGTTTCATTTAAAATCTTTCACGTCTAGCAATGTGAACTCTAAATGGATTACTTGCCCTTGCAATCGCAGACAGCAAAGCCTTATATATCCTTTTACTTACAATAATTTTTGCTTGAGTGAGATACTAGCAATTATGAATGCTAAAGTTTTTCTGAAAAACAAATCTACCTACTATGCACACTTCAGAGACCTTGAACATCACAGAATGGAAAATTAAAATCATGGTCACGTGGCTTCTCTTTAGCTAATAACTGTTCTGGTCTCCTTCAACCACAGCTGACATCTACAATGCAATTCTAAACTGAGTTACATCCTTCTAAATCCACTGAAACCAGCAAGCTGATATTCAGATTAAACACATAAAGAAGGAGAAGAAGAAGAGATTGGATTTATACCCCGCCCTTCACTCAGAGTCTCAGAGCAGCTTACAAACTCCTTTCCCTTCCCCTCCCCACAAGAGACACCCTGTGAGGTAGGTGGGGCTGAGACAGCTCTTTCAAGAACTGCCCTTTCAAGGACAGCTCTTGTCAGAACTATGGTTTGCCCAAGGTCATCCAGCAGCTGCAAGTGGAGGAGTGGGGAATCAAACCCGGTTCTCCCAGATTAGAGTCAACACACTTAACCACGACACCAAACACAAAATGCCTCTAGTTTTACCAAGTCTGAGACCTGCTTGGCCCATGGATAAGTTAAACAAGTATAAAGCCAACAGTCATGATAGTCTGACCCACAATCAAACAGTCATAAGACTTATAAAGAATGCTGTTTATGTATTGCAATCTAAAGCACTATAACATGATACACAACGTCATCTCCGGATTACATAACAACGTTTCAAAAAATGAATCTTCTTCAGGAGATATTATAGTGGTGCCAAAGCTCTCTGTTTCATAAATGTTAGACAACAAGTCTTAAGAATATTAAATTCAGATAGGACGCTGATCTCAATTAACATTCAGGCTCAAAATATGCTGCTATGTTTCTACTGGATCCCGGGCGTTAGAGACTGTTGGCTTTATACTTGTTTAACTGATTGGGTCGTGTGTGTCCAGATTTTTTTTTGGCCCGTGGATAAGGCAGCAGTGGAAAGGAGGGGGTTGAGTTTGGTAGAATGGACTGCACCACTTACTAAGAGACAGTTTGGTGTAGTGGCTAAGAGCTAGGGTTGCCAGGTTGGCAGGGGGAGTCCTTCTCCTTGCCTGGGACTTTTTGGTGTGCATGCTTTGCACACACGCACAATGACGGCACCCAGAAGTGATGTCATCGTGCAGGGCATTACAGGGGGGATGCTGGAGCATCCCCCGCACAACGTGCCCTGCGCAATGACGTCACCTCCGGGTGACGTCACTGCACCGGGCACGTTGGCGTGGATGGGGCTCCCCTCCCCGGCAGGGTGGCAGTGGAATGGGGCCCCCGAAAGCGGGTAAATCCCTGCTCCTGTTGGGGGAATGGCAACCCTATTAAGAGCACAGACTCTAACCTGGGAGAACCAGGCTTGATTCCCCACTCCTCCACATGCAGCTGCTGGTGGGACCTTGTGTTGTGGGCAGCGGCTAGAAAGGTTCTCTAATGGCTGCCACCTTTCTGCTATGGGTCTCCTTGGGAGGGCCCAGGGCACCCACCCTACCCTTTATACTCCTTTTCCAGTAGGCTTCCCCTTATAAGTGACGGAATGAGGTGTGAGGACCCAGGCAGAGTAACAAACTATTCTTATTAAAGAGATGTAATAACTTTAATTTAATAATGTATAGAAAAAAGGAGCACATGCAAGTAGATAAATAGGGACCACTTTGGTGGGAAGGTAACAGCGTTCCGTGCGCCTTGGTGTTTAGTCATGCCGGCCACATGACCACGCCGCAGCTTGGCAGCCCTAGCCTCACCAGCTCTATTCCCTGAGAGTGAATACCCTCCACTTTTTATTCCTTCTTCCCAGGCACCACCTTCTATTCCTCTGCAGGTGTAAGTTTTCCGTCCAAATCCTACATTAACCAACCACAGGGTCCAGAGGGTACACCTGGGAAATGTAGGCCCTGTAGTCACTCTAATACAGGCTTCCCTGGAGCCACTAGGCCACACCATTATAGGCCCAGGATCATGACACCTTGGGTCAGTCACAAGTTCTCTCAGAGCTGTTCTCTCAAGAGCCATTCTCGAGAGAGAGCTCTCTCAGCCCCACCTACCTCACAGGGTGTCTGTTGAAGGGAAAGGAGATTGTATGCAGGGTATAAGGGCGGGGTATAAATCCATTCTATTGTTGTTATTATTATTAGATCTATACCTTCTTTTAAGTCCTAAAATACAATTTTTTACTTTCAATTTTTTATACCGCTCAATCCCGGAGGCTCTGAGCGGTTTACAAGCATTTTACATTTCCTAACTAGGGCCACATACAATGTATATATATAGGGAGGTAAAATACAATTTTAATTGCCTTTTCTCCCCTCCCCCACTAAAAACTACAGAAGGAAGCATCCCATTTCTGAATCCGCTTCTAGTAAAAAGCTCCCCTAAAGCAAAAAAACTAACTCACAAACAGGATGAACTCACACCCTCCTCCATGTTTTTCTTTCTTTCTTGCAAGAAGCGTTTTAAAAAAGAATGACCTCGCCTGCAGTCTGATGTGACCCAGCCCATACTCCCATCTCAGGATTCTCTTGTTTCATACTGGCTAAGTTGGGTTACAAATATTTGACTAAAATAATTCTGCACACCTGGCCCAGACCCAAGATGAAAGTTTTCTAAAAGCATCAATAGTTTAGAAATATGTAGCGAGGAAGGTACACATGGAATTCACTGCCACAGGAAGTGGTGGCGGCTACAAGCATGGACGGCTTCAAAAGGGAATTAGATAGGCATATGGAGCAGAGGTCCATCAGTGGCTATTAGCCACAAGGTATAGATAGGGGCTCTGGGGCAAGTGATACTCTGTCTTCTTGGTGCTTGAACAGTGGGAGGGCTACTAATGTCCTGGCCCCACTGCTGGACCTCCTGATGGCACCTGGTATTTTTAGCCACTGTGGGATACAGAGTGTTGGACTGGATGGGCCTTTGGCCTGATCCAACATTGGGGTCTCTTATGTTCTTAAGGTCTGGGGGGACCCGCTCTTGGCAGGGAGTGGGGGTGGAGAAGCAGGCACCAGGAACACAGTGGAGGCCAGAAGCAGCCCAGGGAAAGGCACCGTCGGGATGAGGCCTTAAAGGCAAATCAGCAACTGTTAGTGGGACACCCACCACCTTGTCCAGGGTCAGATGGCAGCGTTGGCAGCAATTGGGGTGGAGGGCATGCCCCTAAGCTTGAGGAGAGCCTGGACGACATGGTGAAGCTCAGAGAGCCTGGAGGACATGGTGAAACTCGGAGTGGGTCCAAATATTAGGGAGGGCATTAAAGAGAGCAGACAGGCACACTTTGGGGTATATGGAGGGAGGCGTGGCAAAGGAATCCACCGGCAGGGGAGGGTGAAGCGAACAACTTTCCCGGAAGGCAGAGACAGTGTTGCCCGTATATCTTGCCCTGAATAAAGGCTACTTTAAATCATACTTCGGGGGTGCCCAAGTGCTACCTGAGGAGAGCAAAGATCATGGATTCAGACCCTTCTCCAGCTTTGTGCAGGGACCTGTCCTCCAACTGGCTCTGGAGGTGCCAGCCACACCCACAAAACATTTACAAACATTTCTGATGCTTTTATAGAGAAAACTCTGCAGCTTTTGTGATGATGCTTGAGGTCAAGTCGCGGCTTCCCAGGAGACAATCTGTTAACGCCAAGTCTGAGGGCAGAGATTACCAATGCGTCCTTCAAACAGAGTTGCGTCCTTCAAAACCCATCGACTGGGATTCTTTGCTGGTCTCCCAGAACAACATATATGGTATAACCTTACTCACCCTTCCTCCGGGCATCTTCTTTTAGCAGTCCTTGATTTAAAGGGAGAATCTGGTGTAGTAGGGGAAGTGGGTAATACCCCCCCCAAAAAAAAAAGTGGTTTTAACTCCCCCTGGGGTCATATGCACCTTTTCTCACATTAAACTTGATAGTTCTTTTATACGAGAATTAAAATATTTATATCCTTCCTTTCAGTCAGGGTTGCCATCTTCCAAGCGGGTCCCACAGATTCCCAGAATTACAACAGATCTCCAGGTGACATCAGTTCCCCTGAAGAAAATGGCAACTTTTGAGGGTGGGCATGATGGTGTTCAGCCCCTCCCAAAACTCTGCCCTCCCCACGATCCACTCCCCAACCCTCCAAGGATCTCCCAACCCAGAGCTGGCAACCCTACTTTCAATTCACTGAATCCCTAAGGCAGTTTTAAAAACTTCTTAAAAACCACTGTACACGTTTATACACACTACCAAAACACTATACTAGCCAAGCCAGAAGAACTCTCTATAAAACCAGCAATTAAATGTATTATCTGATGAAGGACCACAATTTTGAACAATTTGCTCATGATTAGATTTGCCACCGTGTTGGTGGCATTTTTCCTTCCTCCCCCATTACATTTATTAAAACTAGCAGCATAGCAAAGCTTCTCACACTGTAATATTTCTGACTTGCTTCTGTCAAAGGGATCTGAAAATATAGGTTGGTCTCTAATTTAGCTGTTCTACTGCAGACCAGCACGGCTACCCTCTGATACTACATAGC